ATTACCCATAATTTGTTATGATCCACACAGTCAAATGCCTTTGCATAGTCAAGAAAACACGGGTAAGGATCTTTCTGGTGTTCTTTGCTTTCAGCCAAGATCCATCTGACATCAGCAGTGATGTCCCTCATTCCACATCCTCTTCTGAATCCAGCTTGAATTTATGACAGTTCCCTGTCAATATACCGTTGCAACAGTTTTTTTAATTATCTTCAGCAAAATTTTACTTGTGTGTGATATTAATGATATTGTTGGGCACAAATATGGGTCTCTTCCAGTCGATTTCCCAGGTAGCAAATCTGGCAACCAAATTTCTTGGTTGAACATCGACCAATTCTTTTTAGTACAGTGACTGTGTGTATTCCTTCTTTTGATGTTCCCTGTGTCATTCAATGGGAGCTCTGGTAGCATGGTGCCTTAGGCATCTGACTGCTAACCAGAAGGCTGGCAATTCAAATCCACCAGCCACTATTCAGAAGGAAGGCTGGGCAATCTACTGTAGAGATACAGCCTCGGAAACCGAAGGAGGGGTCGCTATGAGTCGGATTCAACTTGACGGCAATGAGTTTGGTTTGGCTTGGCTTGGTGCCGTTCAATATTCTGTCCATAGAATCCTTCAGTATTGCAATTCGAGGCCTGAATTTTTCCTTCAGTTCTTTCATCTTAAGAAATGCCAAGCTTGTTCTTCACTTTTGGTTTTCTAACTCCAGAGTTTTGCACAGTTCATTACTATAGTTTGCTTTGTCTTCTTGAGCCACCCTTGGAAATTTTCTGTTCAGCTCCTTTCTTTGATCATTTCTTCCATTAGCTTTAGCTACTCTCCATTCAAGAGCAAGTTTCAGAGTCTCTTCTGACACCTGTTTTGAGCTCTTTTTTTTTTTTTTTGTATTTTTAATGACTTCTTGTTTTCTCCATGTATGTCCTTGATGTCACCCCACAACTCATCTGGTCTTCAGTCATTGGTGTTCAGTGAATCAAATCTATTCTTCAGATGGTCTCTAAAGTCAGGTGGGATATACTCAAGGTTGTATTTTGGATCTCAAGCATTTGTTTTCATTTTCTTCAGCTTCAACTTGAACTTGCATATGAGTAACTGGTGATCTGTTCCACAGTTGGTCCCTGGCCTTGCTCTGACATTTTTGTACATTGCTAAAATATAGAAATATGACTGATTTTTGTGTGCTGACCTTGCATGTTCCAATCTTGCTAAACTCACTTATGAGATTAGCTTTTATGTAGATTCCTTGGGATTATACGGAGTGACTGGGTGCCGCGGTCACTCACTCAGCTATTAACTGAAAGGTTGATGGTTCAAACCTACCCCTTGAAAACCCTATGGAGCACAGTTTTACTCTGCAAGTGGGGTTGCCATGAGTCAGAATTGATTTGATGGCAAATGGCCTTTTAGAATTGCTTTGGGATTTCTGCATCAACAATGATGTTACCTATGAATAGTGTTCTGGTTACCTAGTGCTGCTCTGACAAGAATATATACCACAAATGGGATGGCCTTAACAAATAAGAGTTTATTCTTACAATTTGGAAGCTTTAAGTCCAAGTTCAAAGTGCCAGGCTCTAGGGGCTGGGTTAAAGCCCCTCAACCTTGGGGTCCAGCTCTGCCTCCTGCTCCCGGGCCACTGGAGCTAAAGGCCTTTCTTCACTCAGACAGTTGCTGGCTGCTGAGGCTGACAAACCCAAAGTGGACAAGTAAAAAGGCACAGTCCTGATGTTACCAAAGCACATGGCAGGCCATTGATCGAAGTCCATTGTCAGTCCCAAGGTTGGCAGAGCATGGCAGGCTGCTGAACAACAACACAGCTACATGCGGGGTCCAAGCATGTCATAAGCTAGAGACTATTCCCAAGGCTTCTCTTTATATACAGGAAGCAGACCACATCCCAAAGGCAGCTACTTAGCTGCTTGTGGTAGATCCCACCATGGAGCTGATTGCCAGTCTCATCATAGGGAATAATTACCACCAGCTGCCCAGCCACTCAACCAGGCCCAGCCAAGTTGACACACAAACATAACTATCACAAATAGGTAGGAACAGCTTTATCCCTCAGGCCCAATTGGTACTCCTTGTCAGGGTTGTCTGCTTTATTGCACTGTTAAAACTTCCAGTATGATTTTGAATAAAAGAAGTGAGATCTCTCTGCCTTGTTCCCAGAGTGAAAGGGTAAGTCTTTTCCAGTTAAGCAGGAGGCTGGCTCCAGGGCTCTGTGGTGCAGTGAGTTACTTGGTACGGCTCTTCTAGCTGTGGTCCTTGTGACTCTAAGCACACATGACTGTGTGGAACTATGAAAATGTACAGTACTTGTGGTCCACCAAAAGGACTCGGTAGTTTCTTAGTAATGTAATTAAGGTATGTGTCACCCTGGTGGGGGTGCGACCTTGGAAATAAGGGGTATCCCCCCTAACGTGGGGATTGGTCAGTTCTGTCATTTCGTTTGGCTTAAAATGAGCTCTACCAGAGGTTGTTGTTGTTGTTGTTGTTGTTATGTGCCGTCGAGTCGGCCCCGACTCGTAGCGACCCCTCCTTGGGTTTCCAAGGCAGTATCACTACGGAAGTAGGATTGCCCAACCTTCCTTCC